AGCTATTTTCTGGCTCTGTGTTTGGTGATAAGCAGAGGTGTAAAGCAGACAGAAAGGGAACAAAGGAGTAAGGTTATTGAATTAAAGTGAGAGAACAGAGCGTACTGTATCATTCTGCAGTTTATAGCAAGGAATGCAAAAAGTCATTGCATCTAAGGCTGCACCCTTTAACCGAATACGTGACAAAATATTTTTTTCAGTTTCTGGACAAAGCTGTAAAAAGGGCAAAATTCTGTCACTAAGGATAGCAAACTGAGTTCAAAGCATGATAAAACCAATGCTATCTGTAAAAAAAAATGTCTTCCATTTTATTGTTAATTAACAGAGAAAAAGAGAATTGCCTGAAATGTTCAGTACTGATAAAGGCCTACTAAATATGAAGTTCGGATTGTGTTTTTCTACTTTCAAGATAAACTGATATTGAGTATCAGTATATTAAAAAAAAAACATAAAACCTCACATGGTTGGTCATGCGATCCTAGTAGCATAGATTGCTATGCTTATGTTATGCAAAGGTTGAAATAAAAATGCATTGTGTTTTAAACTCATGGCTCTATAATTAAATAATATGGAAAATATTTTCATTTCCATGTGTTTAGGAACTTTTTTTCCAAATGGTAATAAACATGGACAGTTAACTGGTATAGAGGTGTAGCAAGATACCAGAAAATTTAGATTACATTCCCTTGGTGTTTTAATTATAAACCAGAGCCCTTTATAAACCACAGCACTTTATGTTATGCATTAGGATGGCAAACTCAAAGTGCACTTTTAAATTTCGCAGGTATTTTCTTTGCACTTTTGTTGAAGTCTTTGTACCAAAATAAATGCAAAAACTACCAATACAGTAAGTCCTTGAGATAATTTATCTTTAAGTTGTTTTACTGTGTAGGATTTAATAAATATGAGGAATATTGGTTCTTTTTTTTTGTTAGAAGGTTGCATTGGATCTGCAGCCTGTCTCTAGTGGTCACTGGGCCATTAGCAGATAGATAGTCATAAAAGATCAAGTCATGTTCCTGAGTTATGGTCTCAGTATCATCATATCCCCAGCTCGTTCATAGGTAGTGAAGTGTTTAAACTGTATTTTGTATCAGATGCAAATTTAACAGAAATAAGATGATAAGACACAGATATGTGCATGAATCACTGCACAGGTACATATTTAGCTTTTTTTTTTTGTTTTAAAAACTTAAAAAGCTCAGAGCTAAATGGAGTAAATACAAGAACTGGTATACTTGATTCTTATTACGATTTTAGTTTTCTTTTTTCTAAGGTGGCAATGAGGAGGCTGAGGTCGTAGCAGGTGTTTGTTCTTTTGCTTTAAAACCAACCTTCAGATGATAAAGGAATCTTCACCAATGGAACAATGCAGGTTTTTTATTCTATTTTTCTCTTTGCCAAAAAGAAAAGTTTTTTTTTTTTTTTATAATATCCTGCTAACAAATCAAGGTAGAAATCCTGCTGAATAAATATCTTCTTTCTTTTTAAGTCTTTGTACAGAGGCCTGTATGTGTTGATGTATGCAGATGCAAACAGTACGCTTTCCTTATTTTGATTTCGGGAGGCTGGCCATAATGTTAGCTGACAGGTTTTTGGCTCCAGCTGCCCCAATATCCTTGTGCTATCCTCCTTATCTCAACTAAGCTGCAACATATTCAAAGCTTTCAACCACACAACATACTATCCAGCCTTGTTTAGCGGGCAGCCTTTGCTCAAATAGAGCTGTTTTTGTTTGCACACAGTAGCTGCTTTGATTTCATCAGTTACATTAGGATTCACTGAATGCATAAGAGCTGCTTCACACAGTCGTTAAAGTTTAGTCCGACTTAAGAGCTGTTAAACTAGTAAAGGCTGGATTTAATATTTTTTAATGAAATTATTTAGCATGTATTAAACCCCTATTTTTATGCCTTTAGAAACTGTTTTGTTAATGAGGGTTGTATTGAAAAGCTGTCAAGATTAGGTGTCCTGAAAGATGCAGCAGCCACCTGGTACGCTTACTGTGTCTCTTTGCCAGCGGCTTGATATGATATTTCTTTGTCTCTTTTGGGAAATGCTTTCTTTAAAAGTGACATTTACAATGTGCACACACTTGGAAATGTTGACACTTTTCCTGACAGACCACTACAGTCAGCATGGGCCATCAAACTGATGTCTTATTTTTGCTACTCCTCCTTAAGAAACAAAGTTGTATGAAGATGTTTAAACTTACTTAACTTTTTTTTTGCTTTGTCACATTGCAGCAACACAGTGTATCGTGTCTTACTTTGATTTTATGTAAAACCTTTTTTTTTTAGAATTTGCAGGAAAGCAATACATGTTTTAAAAATTTTTTTCATAAAACAAATTTGATGTCTGCTCTCTTTACTCTGATACCCTAAATAAAACCTACTCTCTACCTTAGTTTGATTCATTATCAGTATAAACCAGCTATTCTGTGAAGGTCTCAGCAGAGAACATTGTAATCAAAAAGCATCATAAAGATAAAAGAATAGAGCATGTCTGGTTTAACAATAATCAAGATGAATCATCTGTCTAAAATATAACTTTTTTAAGCATGGCATAAACTGGCACCTAGGGAATAAAGGAGGGGCTGCAGACTTCCACAGCTCAAGATGTTGATATCAGTAAGGATGCAAGTTATGGATTCATTAATTATTCTAAAGTCGATTAACCCTATAGATTGACCAAGATTGATAACCAGTCATAAAAAAATCTTTCCATTAATTGAAGGGCTGAATAGTTGATTACAATAACCTTAATTAAAAGAAATAGTCCATTGTGTAACGATCTTGGTTCTGTTGTTTTTCTCCAAGTTTTCAGTTTCAAGTTTAGCCAGGTTTTCTAGCTTTATTGTTGTGTCTGGATTCATTTAAGTTGCTTAGGTTTTTCTGTCTGTCCTCTGTTGCCCCCTTGTGTTCTTCTCCCTTGGCTTCCTCATCAGCTCTAGTCACACCTGCTCCTTATCAGCTCATTAGTCCTACCTTTGTTCAGTCAGCCATAAATACACTCCCTCTGCAGTCCCCCTTTGCTGGTTCCTCGTCTTACCTTTTCTCACCCTGGCTCCTTGATGGTTTTCCCCTGATGTCTCCATGGTTCTGGTTTGTTTTTTATTTTTATGTCGGACTTTTGGATACCTGTTTTTGTTTAACATTTTTAAGTTGGATTTTTGGATACCTGTTTTTGTTGCCTGATCTCTTATTAAACCTTTGAAGAACTCACCTCTGCCTGTCAGCCTCTGCATTTGGGTCCTTATAAAAACCTCCAAACAAACCGTGACACATTGTTATATTTGTTATAATTTTGAGGCCAGCTGTATTAAATACTGACTAAATAAACAAAAAATATTTCGTACACATTATTTGTTTATGAGATCCTAATAGTTTACTTCAATAAATAAGGTTTAATAAAATATGTGAAACACTTGGAATTTACAATGTACAGAGATGTGAAACAATTTTTAAAATACAGGGTATGTTGCCCTTACATACTGTCAGACTATTTGCCACTTGGTTTCAATAATTGTGAATCTGTTTTTATTGTATCCTTCCTGATCTACAGGGCTCATTGCCAGCATGCCTTTTTCATGTCATTTTACACATACTGTTGAACAATTGGTTGTATTAGTCACCAATGTCACCAGGTGAGTCGACTATGAACCCTTCAGAGCGCTGGTTAGATGCTTAGAACAGATCAATTCATGGATGTGCATCATTTTCTCCAACTAAATAAAAACATAACTGAGGTAATAATTTTCAGACCAAAGGAGGAGACATCCAGAGTTAGCCCACAGCTTCAGCTAATACAGCTAGAAACAACTGATTATGGCCAAAATCTTGGTGTCATGATGAAATCAGATGAACCTTCAGAGGCACATAAAGGCAGTTACTAAGTCAGCCTTTTATCACCTGAAGAACATCTCCAGGATTAAATAATGTCCAAGAAGGATCTAGAAAAACTGATTCATGCATTGATTTTTAGTAGAATTGATTACTATGACAAGTTGTGCTCCATGCAGCAAGGCAAAATGGGTGCTATTAAGGACTTTATTGAGTGTTTATATTTATAATCAGAATAACATACGGTGAGTTCATCCTTCACACCATTAAACAGTGTAAATAATCCCAGTGTAAATAATCCCAGACTTTACTCGATTGATTTATGTTTCTGGTTTAGCAGGCCTCCACTCTGGCATTACTTTTCTTGCAAATACTTTGGAGGCGGGGTAACAAGGGAGTCATGTTTAATGAAGGCCAAAAGAAGTCTAGTTTGCTTCTTGCCAAAAGCCATGTACTGTATGGACACAGATGTCCTGGTGAAATAAGACCTAAGTTGAATTATTTAGCCTACATGATAAACACTGTAGCAAACAGGGCACATCATGCTACACACATTATTTCCAATGTGAAGGATGGTGATTATTAAGTGGGGAAAGGGAAGTTGGTAAAGTACAGACTGATGGAGATTAATGCAGGGAGATCCTATAAGAAGACTGGAGACTGAAAAGGAGAATAATCTGGAAAATTTTGAAAAAAAGATAA